TCATGAGAACAGTGAGGAATCATCCCAGAACTACACGCGAGGATCTTGTCAATGATCTCCAGGCAGCTGGGACCACAGTCACCAAGAAAACAATTGGTAACACACTACGCCAACAAGGATTGAAATCCTGCAGTCCCTCTGCTCAAGAAAGCACATGTCCAGGCCCATGTGAAGGTTGCCACTGATGAGACCAAAATCGAGCTCTTTGGCATCAACTCAACTCGCCGTGTTTGAAGGAGGAGGAATGCTGCCTATGACCCCAAGAAGACCATCCCAACTGTCAAACATGGTGGTGGAAACATTCTGCTTTGGGGGTGTTTTTCTAAGGGGACAGGACAACTGCACCGCATCAAAGGGACGAAAGGATGGGGCAATGTACCATCAAATATTAGGTGAGAACCTTCTTCCCTCAGCCAGGGAATTGAAAAATGGGTTGTGGATGGGTGTTCCAGCATGACAATGACCCAAAACACACGGCCAAGGCAACAAAGGAGTGGCTCAAGAAGAAGCACATTAAGATCCTGGAGTGGCCTAGCCAGTCTCCAGACCTTAATCCGATTGAAAATCTGGCAACTCGAACTTTCAGCTCCCTCCACAAACGTCAGCCACCAAACCTTAATGACTTGGAGAGGATCTGCCAAGAAGAGTGGGCCAAAATCCCTCCTGAGATGTGTGCAAACCTGGGGACCAACTACAGGAAACGTCTGACCTCAGTACTTGGTGGCAAAGCCCTTGTCGACAATCACAAAGTCATGTTTTGTGAAGGGGATCAAATACATATTTCCCTCATGAACATGCAAATCAGTGCATCATTTGTTAGACACAAATTTCTTTTGAATTTTTTGTTGCTATTCTGTCTCTCAGAGTTACAATACACCGAACATTAGATGTTTAGACTGATTATTTCTTTGTGAGGGGCAAACATTCAAAATCAGCAGGCGATCAAATACTTATTTCCTTCACTGCATATACATTTCATATGCTACTGCTCCAATCTTCACCCATCACAACAGGCTTAGTCACTCATGACCTTCAGGGGGCTGGTCCCCCTTTTCTGCTATACAGCTCCAAAGCACTGGACCCCATAGGATCCTGCCAGAGGCTTCCTTGGTCAGTGTCGACTGCCCAGGGTTCTGTAATACAGGGTCCAGCACCAAAAGGCCACATTAGAGCAATCCGATTATCCAGTCTCTTTCTTCCTATTAGGACCATTTTGAGACCAAGTGTATTCTCACATAGAGAGAAACTTCAGTGACCATCACCTTTAAGATGATCGGGGAAAAAAAAACCCAAAAGGGACTTCCTGTATGGGAGGGGTTACATAGAGGAAGACTTCCCCTCTATTTTTGGGATGCCAGTGTCCATTAGGTGGCACATAACCCAGATAGAAATGATTATAGCCTCCTGTGTCCCGTAATGAACAATAAAGAAATGAAGTGTTTAATAAACAAAGTCATTTGTCTATGCCTCCAGCAGAACAGGAGTTTGTTGAGCTGTGGCTTCAAGTTCATATTAACCTGAGGTTGGTTGGTTTTCATATAATTCAGGCAAAACAAAAAAAAAAAAACACCCTAGTTTCTGCCACATACACAGTCAAAACCGTATTAAACCAAAAAGCAAACATTTTATTATATTGCAGGTTACCAATTTTTAGATGTGATGGCTCCATTTGTTTTTTAGACTTTTTTGACTTCTATTCTTATCTGGTGATCTGGCCAGTAAGTCTGTTTTTCAGAAGAACAAGCTCTTCCACAAGAGTGAGACAAACCATTTACCTTAGACAGGGGAGTGCTTACAATGATCAGCTTATATTTATGCAACACCTTTATCTCAAAAGGAAAAAAAAAAGAAAAAAAAAAAAAAACGGTTTGCGGTAATTGATTTATAAAGTGTTAGCTTGAGTTCGGCTTCAAATTTGTTAGTGTATCGAAATCTGGTAGTATATATCTAACCCCCCCCCCCCCCTCCCCCCTCAGACTGACAATGCTGCTGTCCAAAGGTGCCCCGGGCACCTTAATACAGAGTGGGGGCAATCTAACACAGTAAGTATTTTACTTGCCAGATCACAAGCTGAAAAGAAAAAAAAAAAAAAAAAAGCTGAAAATAGAAACCTAATGCAGCCACCACATGTAATGATTGGTATGTTGCAATAGAATACATTTTTGTCTTTGGGTTTAATAGCACTTTAAGAGAGGCACCACTAGGAGAGGAGCTTGATCTGTGCACAAGTATGACCTTTTACTTACTAGGGTTCATTCTAGTGTAGGAGATGGTCTACCTACCTCGCAGCCCTCTGCTGCTCTCAACATTCCTAGGGTTTCAGTGGGGGAACTAACCTCACCTCCCTGACCCCAAGACACTAGCAATTTTTGAAACCCATTCCTGTCAACATGTTTGGGGTTGTATCTATCCCTGATCCTTTTCTACTCTACATAGGATTCTTACATCATTCAAAAATATAAAGCGTTATTTACACCATCTGTACTTCTGAGGATGTAATGGTTACAGCAGTTTGTAATGAGAAATCTACTGCATCCTACCAGGCTGTACCTACTGTAAGTTACCGGCGTACCTTGTATGTATTCATGCTGGATGTACCCAGATTCTGCTGTTCTACCTCTTCCCTCTGGATAGGTATCATTTGAGATCATTCATACTGTGAACAACAAAATATTTTCCAGCACACTTACCAGCCAGCCGAACAGCGGAAACTGACCCAAACAATCGTTAAAAAAGAGGTTTACACACACACACACACACACACACACACACACGCAGTGCCCGTGTCAAGGCTCTTCTGACATGTGTAGAGTTAGGGCTGCAGTATCCAGAGTCTCCTTAGGAGGAGCATATATAGCAAGGGACGAGAAGAGGGGCAGGGACGAGAAGAGGGGCAGGGACGAGAACGAGGGGCAGGGACGAGAACGAGGGGCAGGGACGAGAACGAGGGGCAGGGACGAGAACGAGGGGCAGGGACGAGAACGAGGGGCAGGGACGAGAACGAGGGGCAGGGACGAGAACGAGGGGCAGGGACGAGAACGAGGGGCAGGGACGAGAACGAGGGGCAGGGACGAGAACAAGGGGCAGGGACGAGAACAAGGGGCAGGGACGAGAACAAGGGCAGGACGAGAACAAGGGGCAGGGACGAGAACAAGGGGCAGGGACGAGAACAAGGGGCAGGGACGAGAACAAGGGGCAGGGACGAGAACAAGGGGCAGGGACGAGAACAAGGGGCAGGGACGAGAACAAGGGGCAGGGACGAGAACAAGGGGCAGGGACGAGAACAAGGGGCAGGGACGAGAACAAGGGGCAGGGACGAGAACAAGGGGCAGGGACGAGAACAAGGGGCAGGGACGAGAACAAGGGGCGGGGGACCATAGTGTGTGCATGGGGGGGGGGGGGGGTAGTGGGTGCGTGGGCGTGCGTGTTGTTGGGGGGGCGGGCATGGTGTATGTGCATACGTTGGGGGGGGGGGGGGGGGGGGAGGGGGGGGACACACGTGGGCATACGCATGCGTATGGGGTGTGTGCATGTGTGGGGGGGATGCACGTGCGTGGGGGGCGTGCGCGTGCATGTGGTGTGGGTGGGGAAGTGTGGGCAGGCCTGAGAACACCACCTTGGAAGGGAAGCTGTGATGTGAAGTGGGGGACTGTGGTGTGAGGGGGACTGGAGGACAGTGATAAGAAATTGTGATACAGGAGGTAAGAAAAAAAAAGAAAAAAAAAAAAAAAGGAAGAAGTGGTTAAGGCCTGTTGGAAGAAAATTTTAGTGGTCGGAACTCCGTGAATTGCAATTCAATAACCCTGCCCTGGAAGGTAAAATTCAGAATAGAGACGGGGACACAACGCGTGAAAAAGGGAAACTTTTATTGTGCATTTTATATTGCAGCAAACATTTCCTCTTCTAACAGGCTATGCAGAGGGGTCAGGTATGGCGGCAGGGCCACGCGAATGATCAGCGAATGACAGAGCTGACAAGAAGGTCAATGATGGCAGGGCAGAGGGTCAGTGATGGCAGCAGGTCTGTAATGGGGATAAGGCGATGACATCAGGGCCATGTAGCGAATCAGCGATTGAGAATGGCCAGCGCTGCAGGTGACATGGCCCTCATTGGTCAGTGAATAGAGTTGTTTTACAATCCGCAGCAGACACGTAAAGCAGATTCTCATACAGCGGACTGATGATTGGCAGCTCTGCACCACCCCGCAGAAGGTCTGCAGCATCAGTGTGACCGAGAGCCAGCGTGGCACTGCAATCTGATATGACAGACGGGTTCTGCGGTGTGAAAAGCCGCCAGAGGGAGCCAGAGAGCCGCTGAGAGAGGACCATTAACTATTTGTGTCCTGGATTGCCAGCACATGGAGCCATGCCCTTACAGACAGCAACACCACCATCGGCAACGCTGCAGAAAGCTCTCCTGGCCCCCCGCCATCATTCTGTGCACAAAGGATCCGCTCTGTTACTGTAGTGCTTGCCATCACCTCCCTGCCACCAATCAGATTTAAACCTGCCCTGGAAAATGAAATACCTCAACTTGATTGGCTGAGGAAGCTAAATAGACAGTTCTTAGAAAACATTGATAATCTAGCCTATTGGAATAAGAATGCAGCCACTGTCAGCACCCAGACTGCGCTGCCGGACTGACAGAGCCGCGGCCGGTGGGCACACCATCTAATTACAGGTGTCTCCAGTAGAGGAATGATCCAGAGTTATATAAACCTATAATATTAATAAATACATGGGGGGGGGGCCATAATACTTTCACCATCATTGTTTAGCGCCCTCCCAAGGAGAATGAAGCGGGGCTCCCATAGTGCATTGCAGTCCAGCAGTGAAGGGTTAAACAAGGCAGAAGAAGCATTTCCTCATCCCGGGTCATCTGCAAAGAAAAGGATGGAGAGGTCTGATTGGTTCCAGATTCTGGGAGTACGGGGTGCAATGAACCCGTCAATGTATGGCCAAAACACAAACCGTATGAATAAGAGCCGTACCTGACGCTGTTCACATCTGATCCCGGCTCTCTGTCTCATCGGAAGGTTCATAGATGTAACATCCAACATCTCCGATATTTACCCCTGAGGAGAACAATTAACACGTTAGATGCATTCAACACTGAGAAAACAATTCACCCATAAATCAGGCACATCCACCCCCGGGGGAGAACGGACAGACGCACTCATCCACCCCCGGGGGGAACGGACAGACGCAATCCACCCCCGGGGGACAGACGCACTCATCATCCACCCCCGGGGGAGAACGGACAGACGCACTCATCCACCCCCGGGGGAGAACGGACAGACGCACTCATCCACCCCCGGGGGGAGAACGGACAGACGCACTCATCCACCCCCGGGGGGAGAACGGACAGACGCACTCCCCACCCCCGGGGGAGAACGGACAGACGCACTCATCCACCCCCGGGGGAGAACGGACAGACGCACTCCCCCCCCTGGGGGAGAACGGACAGACGCACTCCCCCCTGGGGGAGAACGGACAGACGCACTCCCCCCTGGGGGAGAACGGACAGACGCACTTAACATGACCCCCCCTGGGGGAGAACGGACCGCACTCCCCCCTGGGGGAGAACGGACAGACAATTAACATGCCCAATGCCTCCCCCCCAGGGAAAACTATTCACACATCAAGACGCATTCACCCATAGGGAGAATAATGGACACTGATGCATTCACCTCTGGGGAAAAACAATTAACATGCCCAATGCCTTCTTCCCTCCCCAGGGAAAACTATTCACACATCAAGGAACATTCAGCCATAGGGAGAAAAACGGACAGGAATACATTCACCTCTGGGCAGAACAATTGACACAGGTGCATTCACCTCTGGGGAAAAACAATTAACATGCCCAATGCCTTCCCCCCCTGGGGAAAACTATTCACAGGGAGAATAACGGACACAGATGCATTCACCTTTTGGCAAAACAATTAACCCATCAGAAGCTTTCATTCATCAAATGCATTTACCCTGGGGAGAAAACAAAATTCACAGACTCATTCACCCCTAGGGAGACCATTCACGCCGTTGATGCAATCACCCCCTTGGGGGTAAATCAGACAGTAGCAGCACAGAAAGGCTGTTATACAGTCGCAGGCAGTGGCGGTGTAGAACCTGGCTGTGATGCAGACACAGACAGTAGCAGCGTACAGCCCGGCTGTGCCAGAGGAAATTAGCCAGCTGGAAAAAATGTTCCATTTCCTGACAAACAGAAAAGCAGCTTTGAGAGCCCAGACTGAAAATAGCGCCGAGCTCCACCCGTACGCATCATGGCCTTCCAGCGTGTATAGAGGGGACAAGGCAGCCCAGCACATTGCTATACCCATCCTTACGTCTCAGAGGCAAGTCCCATATATTTGGGGTAGGGTGCCTCTTTAGCAGCCTTATGTGCAGGTTTAGGACATGGGAAAATATTCTTCATCTACTAGTGGGGGCCGCAGTGTGAGACACGAGGAGCAGATGAGGGTCACATCAGGGGCAGGGTGTGTATGAGGCAGATGGGTGCCGCACTGTGCGCCTCTCTACATTCCAAATACAACGTGTTCTCCTCAAATCAAAGCAGATGTGAAGCCGAGACTCCAAATTGGAGAGGAAATGAATGTGCAAATGTGTGTTGACAACGCTGGAGTAAGATAAGACAACGCTGGGTTACGACGCTCGAGGAGGACAACCGGGAGTCCCGCTGGGGGGTTGCGACGCCCGAGGACGACAACCGGGGTCCCGTGGGGGGTTGCGACGCCGAGGACGACAACCGGGAGTCCCATGGGGGGTTGCGACGCCCAGGACGACCGTGGGGGGTTGCGACGCCCAGGACGACAACGGGAGTCCCGTGGGGGGTTGCGACGCCCAGGACGACAACAGGGAGTCCCATGGGGGGTTGCGACGCCCAGGACGACAACAGGGAGTCCCGTGGGGGGTTTGCGACGCCCAGGACGACAACAGGGAGTCCCGTGGGGGGTTGCGACGCCCAGGACGACAACAGGGAGTCCCGTGGGGGGTTGCGACGCCCAGGACGACAACAGGGAGTCCCATGTGGGGGGTTGCGACGCCCAGGACGACAACAGGGAGTCCCGTGGGGGGTTGCGACGCCCAGGACGACAACAGGGAGTCCCCGTGGGGGGTTGCGACGCCCAGGACGACAACAGGGAGTCCCGTGGGGGGTTGCGACGCCCAGGACGACAACAGGGAGTCCCATGGGGGGTGCGACGCCCAGGGGGGAGTGGGGGGTTGCGACGCCCAGGACGACAACAGGGAGTCCCATGGGGGGTTGCGACGCCCAGGACGACACAACAGGGAGTCCCATGGGGGGTTGCGACGCCCAGGACGACAACAGGGAGTCCCATGGGGGGTTGCGACGCCCAGGACGACAACAGGGAGTCCCATGGGGGGTTGCGACGCCCAGGACGACAACAGGGAGTCCCATGGGGGGTTGCGACGCCCAGACGACGACAACAGGGAGTCCCATGGGGGGTTGCGACGCCCAGGACGACAACAGGGAGTCCCATGGGGGGTTGCGACGCCCAGGACGACAACAGGGAGTCCCATGGGGGGTTGCGACGCCCAGGACGACAACAGGGAGTCCCATGGGGGGTTGCGACGCCCAGGACGACAACAGGGAGTCCCATGGGGGGTTGCGACGCCCAGGACCAACAGGAGTCCCATGGGGGGTTGCGACGCCCAACAGGGAGTCCCATGGGGGGTTGCGACGCCCAGGACGACAACAACAGGGAGTCCCATGGGGGGTTGCGACGCCCAGGACGACAACAGGGAGTTGCGACGCCCCCATGGGGGGTTGCGACGCCCAGGACGACAACAGGGAGTCCCATGGGGGGTTGCGACGCCCAGGACGACAACAGGGAGTCCCATGGGGGGTTGCGACGCCCAGGACGACAACAGGGAGTCCCATGGGGGGGTTGCGACGCCCAGGACGACAACAGGGAGTCCCATGGGGGGGTTGCGACGCCCATGGGGGGTTGCGAGGACGACAACAGGGAGTCCCATGGGGGGTTGCGACGCCCAGGACGACAACAGGGAGTCCCATGGGGGGTTGCGACGCCCAGGACGACAACAGGGAGTCCCATGGGGGGTTGCGACGCCCAGGACGACAACAGGGAGTCCCATGGGGGGTTGCGACGCCCAGGACGACAACAGGGGAGTCCCATGGGGGGTTGCGACGCCCAGGACGACAACAGGGAGTCCCATGGGGGGTTGCGACGCCCAGGACGACAACAGGGAGTCCCATGGGGGGTTGCGACGCCCAGGACGACAACAGGGAGTCCCATGGGGGGTTGCGACGCCCAGGACGACAACAGGGAGTCCCATGGGGGGTTGCGACGCCCAGGACGACAACAGGGAGTCCCATGGGGGGTTGCGACGCCCAGGACGACAACAGGGAGTCCCATGGGGGGGTTGCGACGCCCAGGACGACAACAGGGAGTCCCATGGGGGGTTGCGACGCCCCAGGAACGGAGTCCCATGGGGGGTTGCAACAGGGAGTCCCATGGGGGGTTGCGACACCGAGGAGAACGGAGTCCTATCGGGGTTGCGACACCGAGGAGAACGGAGTCCTATCGGGGTTGCGATACCCAGGAGGAGAATGGAGTCGTATCACAGATAACGCAACACTCCACCCAGAACCGCACCTTACCCAGGACGGGGCCCAATACCCACATGTGGGGGGTGCCATCACTCCCACTGCCCGCCAAGGACAATCCACTGCTGCAGAGCAGACTGAATATTCACTGCTGTGCACCACCTGCTCCATTTTCTCATTTCTTTCCAGTTCCCAGGGCTTTAATCACACAGATTTACCCGCACAAATATTCTAGTATAGATCAAGGATAGGCAACCTCGGCATATCAGCTGTTGAACTACATGCCCCATGAATCACTGCAAGAAAGACTGCTTCTGGGAGGCATGATGGGATTTGTAGTTTCACCACAGCTGGAGTGCCTAGGTTGCCTAACCCTGGCATAGAATTGTGTCATTTTGCATGTGAAACTCAAATGGAATTAAAAGGAATAAACCCCTTCTTGCTGGCGCCTCCCAATGTCACAAACCCCTTAAAAGAGCCGGGAGACGCTGGCGCCTGAGGTGGGGGTTATAGGGTCATGTGACCTCTGTGATTAGCTGTCACAGCAGTCATGATTGGAAAGCTCCCAATCACAAGCAGTGATTGGGACTTCTGAGGCACTGATAAGTGTCAGGAATGTGCAGGGCTCGCACTCTTGGCACATGTTTACTTACATTGGGTGTGCCCCCTGTGCTCCTTCATCCAGAGTGAAGGCACTAACACAGAAGGTGTGTTACTGGCCAGATCACCAGGTGAAAAACAGGGGGGAAAAGCCTAAATTAAAACAAATGCAGCCACCATAATGATTAATTTCGATGCAAGATTTAGCATTTTTGGTTTTTTACCATTTTAACCATTATTTAGAGACCAAAATAGGTGTCATGCAGGGGCGGGCTGACCATTTGGAAACTCTGGCACTGCCCGAGGGCCAGGGGTCGGTAGGGGGCCCCCATGAGATGCCCCGCTACCTTTTTCATAGGCTTTTTTTAGTATGGGCAAGGACACAGGGGCCCCGTGATCCCCTATTGCCCGGGGGCCCCATGAGTTGTCAGTTCGCCCCTGGTGTCATCCCTGTATGTTTACGGTGTGCACCCAAGACCAGTTGGGCAGGCTGAATGGAGCTCTCCCACGCTCCTGGTGAAGACTCAGGAACATACATACGCACGCCGATGACACCAGAGCCCCCGCCTGACGGAATCCCCACAATTAAACCTGCATTAAAGTGAAACTTGTCAACATGGGGTGGCCGCAGGCAGGGTTCCCATGCGCTTTGACCAGAACAATGAAAGGCTGACGTCATTGTAGCGCAGCTCTCCGTTCATGGAACAAGTTTAGATTTGTACATCTAAGGATTAGATGAGGAAATTATCCTGAATCAGAAAAAAAAAAAAAAAAAAAAAAAAAAAAAGTTATTACAGCTCGGTGAGCAGACAACAGTTGTGGGAATATCCAGTTCGGTGGTTGTATTTCCAGGTCCCAGGGTTGGTCCTGAGAGATTCGGAATACACAGAGTATCCGAGGAGGATGTGTCACCTCCCTCCAGACTGGCAAAGGTAACAGCTTTCTGCATTTATTGCATTCTTCGAGTCGGATTCCCTGGCTGCTCAGTAAAGTTCTGGGGGGGGGGGGGGGGAATTCATCCCACTACAGATGTGTAATCTCATACCAAGGTCGGAAATTAATCATGGTGAAGGAATGCACAGATACCAGAATATAGGCTGTGCCAGGCTCCACGTGCCGCCCTCAGATGTATAGAAACACGACATACACTGGGGGTTATTTACTAAAGCTGGAAAGTGCAAAATCTGGTGCAACTCTGCACAGCAACCAATCAGCTTCAAGGTGTTATTACCAAAGCTTAACTGAATAAGCTGACGTTCGAAGCCGATTGGCTACCATGCACAGCTACACCAGGTTCTACATGTACCAGTTTTAGTACCTCAAGTCCCCCCCCCCCCCCCCCCCCCCCACCACACTACAATGGAAGCACAGGCAGATCACCACAGCAGGCACACAGGCGAGCAATACTCCAAACAGCAGTCACCACTTTACCACATCATTCTTTATTCACATAAAATATCACTGATTGATTGAGAGAACCGAATAAAGACAGCTCCACCACCACCACCAGAAACCTTAGCACGGGTGTGCAGCCTCTGGTTCTATGGACCCCTAACCAGTGAGGGATGAAGGAGCTTTGGTACTCCAGCACTGACCTTTTGGTCCAAAGAGATGTCCATAGCAGGGCACATGGCAGTATGGCAGGCCGTCATGCTAGAAAGGGAGCAGAGACATGGGTTAGAGCAGTGGTTCTCAACCTTCCTAATGCCGTGACCCTTTAATACAGTTCCTCATGTTGTGGTGACCCCCAACCATAAAATTATTTACCCAGCAATTATAATTCATGAGTGTCGTTTTACCTCCAATACTGCTGCTTTCAACACAGTAGCTGCTTTCAACACAGTAGCTGCTTTCTACACAGTAGCTGCTCTTTACACATCGGAATATGTGTTTTCTGATGGTCTTAGGATACCCCTGTGAAAGGGTCATTCGACCCCCAAAAGGGTCGCGACCCACAGTTTGAGAACCGCTGGGTTAGAGGTAGCAGTCATTACTGAGACAGTATAATATTTTTTGCTGTATAAATTCTCCCCATTTCCCCCACTCCTGCTACCTGTAGGATATAAATGTATTATTGACAACCCAAAAGCAAGCCTTCCACCTGCGGCACAACAGCCCTCCCATTATCACATCTCCTTTCCTGCCTCTGCAACCATTACTTGCTGTCACATGTGCTAAACCATGCCCATTAAGCATCAACAGTTCTCATCCCTTCTCCCAACTCCGCACCTCCCTCCCGCCCGCCATCTCATTCCTTCTCCCAGCTCCGTGCCTCCCGCCCGCCATCTCATTCCTTCTCCCAGCTCCGCGCCTCCCACCCACCCGCCATCTCATCCCTTCTCCCAGCTCCGCGCCTCCCACCCACCCCCATCTCATCCCTTCTCCCAGCTCCGCGCCTCCCACCCACCCGCCATCTCATCCCTTCTCCCAACTCCGCACCTCCCACCCACCCGCCATCTCATCCCTTCTCCCAACTCCGCACCTCCCACCACCCGCCATCTCATCCCTTCTCCCAACTCCGCACCTCCCACCCACCCGCCATCTCATCCCTTCTCCCAACTCCGCACCTCCCACCCACCCGCCATCTCATCCCTTCTCCCAACTCTCCGCACCTCCCACCCCCGCCATCTCATCCCTTCTCCCAACTCCGCACCTCCCACCACCCGCCATCTCATCCCTTCTCCCAACTCCGCCTCCCCCCCACCCGCCATCTCATCCCTTCTCCCAACTCCGCACCTCCCACCCACCCGCCATCTCATCCCTTCTCCCAACTCCGCACCTCCCCACCCACCCGCCATCTCATCCCTTCTCCCAACTCCGCCCTCCCACCCCCACCCGCCATCTCATCCCTTCTCCCAACTCCGCACCTCCCACCCACCCGCCATCTCATCCTTTCTCCCAACTCCGCACCTCCCCTCCCGCCATCTCATCCCTTCTCCCAACTCCGCACCTCCCTCCCGCCCGCCATCTCATCCCTTTCTCCCAACTCCGCGCTTCCCTCCCACCCCCCATCTCATCCCTTCTCTCAACGCCGCGCCTCCCACCCACCCGCCATCTAATCCCCTTCTCCAAGCTCTGCGCCTCCCACCCGCCATCTCATCCCCTCTCCCCAACTCCGCACCTCCCACCCGCCATCTCATCCCTTCTCCCAACTCCGCACCTCCCACCCGCCATCTCATCCCTTCTCCCAACTCCGCGCCTCCGACCCGCCATCTCATCCCTTCTCCCAACTCCGCACCTCATCCCGCCCGCCATCTCATCCCTTCTCCCAACGCCGCACGTCCCACCCACCATCTCATCCCTTCTCCCAACTCCGCACCTCCCACCCGCCATCGCATCCCCCTTCTCCCAACTCCGCGCCTCCCACCCCCACCCTCTCATCCCTTCTCCCAACGTCGCGCCTCCCACCCACCCGCCATCTCATCTCTTCTCTTCTCCCAACGCCGCGCCTCCCACCCACCCGCCCTCTCATCCCTTCTCCCAACACCGCGCCTCCCACCCACCCGTCATCTCATCCCTTCTCCCAACTCCGTGCCTCCCACCCGCCATCTCATCCCTTCTCCCAACTCCACGCCTCCCACCCGCCATCTCATCCCTTCTCCCAACTCCGCGCCTCCCTCCCACCCGCCATCTCATCTCTTCTCTTCTCCCAACGCCGCGCCTCCCACCCCACCCGCCATCTCATCTCATCTCTTCTCCCAACTCCGCGCTTCACTCCCGCCCTCTCATCCCTTCTCCCCAACACCGCGCCTCCCACCCACCCGTCATCTCATCCCTTCTCCCAACTCCGTGCCTCCCACCCGCCATCTCATCCCTTCTCCCAACTCCACGCCTCCCACCCGCCATCTCATCCCTTCTCCCAACTCCGCGCCTCCCACCCGCCATTTCATCCCTTCTCCCAACTCCGCGCCTCCCACCCGCCAGCTCATCCCTTCTCCCAACTCCACGTCTCCCACCAGCCAGCTCATCCCTTCTCCCAACTACATGCATACCACTCGCCATCTCATCTCTTCTCCCAACTCTGCGCTTCCCACCCACCATCTCTTCTTCCACCTCCGTGCATCCCACCAGTCATCTCTCTTCTCCGAGCTCTGTGCATCCCACCTGTCATCTCTTCTCCGAGCATCCCACCAGTCATCTCTTCTCCGAGCTCTGTGCATCACACCCATCGCTTTTCTCCCAACTGCACTCCCAAATCCATCATCTCATCTTTTCTCCCAACTCTGTGCATCCCATGCTCCTATTCCTGCCATCACATCTCATGCTGCATTCAGAAACATTGTAAATATGAGCTTACAACTTTCCAACAATGGAGGCTAGAATGCCTAGTACACACGATGAGAATAAATCGGACCAAAAAAAAAAAAAGCATTTTAAGTGAGCGCCTGATAATCTACTCGTCTAAATCTATCGTCTATTAATCTATCTATTCTCATTGTGTTTATTATGCACAAGACCCATTACATTACTATTTTCCACAGGAAACATCTTTGAATTGGATAAAAGGTGGAGCGTTTCAACATACCATTCAGATAGCATCATCTGTCTGACAGCCCTTAAATGCCACTTTTCAACCCCCACAAAAAAAAAAAAAAAAAAAAAAAAAAAAAAAATCTTTCCACCCCAATTCCACCAAGTGATACCACCATCACATCCTTCCTCACATTTCCCCAAGTCTCACAGCTGCCACATCTCTGCACTCACCTCCGCATGTCCCCCTGCAGTCAATGTCTTGCTGCAGCGCTGGCATCGGAGGCAGGGGCGGTGCCAGCTTCTGCCAAGTGACATCACCTTCTCCGCTGTAAGAAGACAGAGCTCAGCTCATATTTCTGAATGCTCGATCAGTACAGAAATTGGAAAATATAAAAAAAGTGACAACTACTCACCAAAGTAGACAGCCTTTCCACAGCCTGGGCACATGGCAGTCTCTCCAGCAAATGTCCGTGTTGGGGCTACAACTGTACAAGAGAAGGATATACAGATGAGGTATTTCGAATAAAAGACCTTCCTCTATAGATTTTCCCTTGCGCTGGGTACACACCTCGTGTGGCAGGCTTGGCAGCATTGTTTGCAGCACTGACAACGGGGGCGACAGGACCCTGGTCCTCCGAGGCTCGAGGCGTCGTATCATAGATGTAGGACCCAACTCCACCAATGTTCACACCTAAAGGAGACATTCAGAGAGGATAATTGAAAGGAGAAAAGTAGACACCAGCGGGAAGAACACGAGGAAGGGGTAGAGAAGGCACCAGGGGGAAGAAAGGGTAGAGAAGGCACCAGGGGGGAAGAACACGAGGAAAGGGTAGAGAAGGCACCAGGGGGGAAGAACACGAGGAAGGGGTAGAGAAGGCGGGAAGAACACGAGGAAGGGGAAGAAGGCACCACGGGGAAGAACACGAGGAAGGGGTAGAGAAGGCACCAGGAAGGGGTAGAGAAGCACCACGGAAGAACACGAGGAAGGGGTAGAGAAGGCACCAGGGGGAAGAACACGAGGAAGGGGTAGAGAAGGCACCAGCGGGAAGAACACGAGGAAGGGGTAGAGAAGGCACCAGCGGGAAGAACACGAGGAAGGGGGCAGAGAAGGCACCAGCGGGAAGAACACGAGGAAGGGGCAGAGAAGGCACCAGCGGGAAGAACACGAGGAAGGGGTAGAGAAGGCAGCAGCGGGAAGAACACGAGGAAGGGGCAGAGAAGGCACCAGCGGGAAGAACACGAGGAAGGGGCAGAGAAGGCAGAGAAGGCACCAGCGGGAAGAACACGAGGAAGGGGTAGAGAAGGCACCAGCGGGAAGAACACGAGGAAGGGGTAGAGAAGGCACCAGCGGGAAGAACACGAGGAAGGGGTAGAGAAGGCACCAGCGGGAAGAAACACGAGGAAGGGGTAGAGAAGGCACCAATGGGAAGAACACGAAGAGGGTAGAGAAGGCACCAATGGGAAGAACACGAGGAAGGGATAGAGAAGGCACCAGGGAAGAACACGAGGAAGGGGTAGAGAAGGCACCAGCGGGAAGAACACGAGGAAGGGGTAGAGAAGGCACACCAATGGGAAGAACACGAAGAAGGGGTAGAGAAGGCACCAATGGGAAGAACACGAAGAGAGGTAGAGAAGGCACCAATGGGAAACCCATGAGAGGATGATATTTTAAGATTGGACGGCAATAAGATTGACCTAAGAAAATAAGTTTAATTGCCAAGATAGATTGCAATTCATTGCTTCATATTGGACAGTTTTAGGGATCAACAACCATGGTTCAAGTTGCTGGATGGAAGAGGCAACTATGCAAACCCAAAATTGGGGAGATATTTCCCAAAACACAAACCATTTCCAGCTAAAGAGGTTAACACAGAGCAAGAAAGGCCCAAAAATTTACAAAGATGTAATTTTCCCAAAACAGATGTACACGCTTTCTTTTTGGATGGAGTGGTAGGGTTGAAGTCTTTCAGGTTTTATTTGCCTGTCTGTTTTCCTGCTGGGAATATCCACCCTTATTTTCTTTCCTGGAGTTATATCCCATCACCCCGATACACAGTGTATAACCAGGGGGAATCTCCCACTGGGGACATAGACCCTTCCCCACGTTTGTTAATAAACGTTTTGGTTGGAGGTCCACTTGGACGCAAAAATATGCCAGTCGCGTGTTTTGCAATCTGTGAAGCTGTCAAAGGCGTAAGGCAGCAGGATTGTGCTGTATACAGGAAGTACGAATCAGTCCCAGCTGTGGTGTCAGTGAACTTGGAGACACAGGATGTCCTCTATTCCTGACACTATGAATAGAAGCCCGGACCGCAGAGGGCATGTCCTGACATATGGAGAACAATGACAAAGACGGGTGTCTTCTATTCCAATAGATGAATGTGTGTGTGTGTACAAAGAAAAGGATTCCAAACACAAAATATGAATATTGGTAATAACAAATATAATTACAAGTAACAATAAATAAATCTTGATAATATATCATGGCTGAACCTTGTATCATCCCTGTTCCCACAATCTGTACCATGTCGCCTCACTTACCTGGGATCTGTTACTTCCTGCATAGACACATTGCCATATTTGTATTAAATATATAATGAGCTATGAAGCCATTTTACTTAAAGCCAAACTAAGCTTTCAGATTAAAATCCGGAAAATACACTACAGGAGCATATAAAAAAAAAAAAAAAAAAAAAAAAAAAAAAGTGTGCAAAGCTCATATTCCCTGCTGATTGTGAGAGGAAGCAGTGGTCTCTCCGCAGAGGTCTGACATGCCCCCTACTGATCAGAGTCAAAGCACTCCAGAGCATGGATCCTGCTCTGTATTATGCTGGCACCAGACAGGCTTTTCTACTCAGGCGGCAGCTGGTTTAAAATAAAAATGAACTAATACTTTGCACACCTTTAATGTGCTGTATGTGGCTCATTTCCCCTTACAGTGCATCAGTCAGCCTTTTAGCTTGCCCAGAGGCAGACCACAATGCTGAAGTCTCCATCCTGGAATGGACCGGGTCTATGCCCACCTTGCACTCCATGTATGAAAGCTGCCAGTCATAATCACCCGAGTCCCCTTGCCGGCAGCACATACTGGGAGATGAGATAAGAACATGGCAGACAGAACATATCCCAGGGTGTGACGGCCATCCGCTGCAGGACGATAAGATGCTTCACACAAAACAATCTTCTGTCCTATAGAAGAGCATGAAAAGTTCTGTCCAGCTTCAGTCAGCTTGCTTATTGAATTCACTTTGGCAGCATAACACTAGAAGAGATCCAGATCCTAACCCACAATGCCCCTGAATCATTTTCAAAGCACCTCACCCACCCGATACCCTTTTATTCACCTGGATAACCTTCAGCAAGCTCCCCATCTGATTCCTTAATCATCCCAATGCTCCTAAGCATGCCCCCCATCGGATCCCTCTGCCAAACAGATACCCCTCAGTGTGCCTCCCATCCGAACCCTCCCTTCCTATACAGAATTCCCCCAATATGATCCCCCCCCCCCCAATCCAAACCCACCACCCTACCCCAACACTTATCAGTGTGCTCCTCCATCTGATCGCTTCCCAACCCCTCAGCAAGCCTCCCATTCAACCCCCTCAAAGTGCCTTCCCCACCACCCTCATCTGACTACTCCCCAATCAAACACCCCTCAGCCTGTCACCTATCTGGTCCCTCTCCCACCTTGAAACCCCCTCAGCCTGATCCTTCACCCAAACCTACACCCTTCAGCATGCCCCCACATTCCAACCCCCCCCCCCCCCCCCAATGCCCTGGGGGACAGGAAGGGGGTGAAAGTGCCCGGTATTGAGGTGGTTAAAAGGGGACGTCACGTTTATTTCACCAAGCACTATTTTTTTTTTCACTCTGGGTTTTTTTCAATACTATATTTTGAACACATCTTATATTAGGTATTATTCATTACTAAAAAAAAAAAAAAAAGAAAAAAAAAAAAAAAAAAAAAAAAAAAAAAAACTTTATAGCAGAACATTTTCTATGGTCTATTATTTAGAGAGGATATCCTCTTTGTGATTGTTGCTTAGTTAAGGCTTTATTCACTTGTTATACAGCATTTTTGCAGAGTTTCCTCCATTTTTAAACCCCGACACACCTTAGTATGTATCCTTTACCTTTAGGGCCAAACAGGACAGCATAGCACGGCTTGTGGCAGTATGGGCGTCCATCATGCTGGAGAGGAAAGAAGAAATATGAAAAACTGGTTATAATACGAACTAGAACACGACAGGAGAGCAGCAGCACCGATCCTGTGCACCCCACTATCCCCAATTGCTGTATCCCCCCCCCCCCTGCATTTATAAAAAGATAGAATTTCCCTCACAGCATTGGGCCCTTGAGTGTTAATTATTATTATTATTATACAGGATTTATATGACGCCAACAGTTTGCTCAGCACTTTACAATATAACAGGAGACAATACAGCAACAATACAGTTCAATACAAGAGGGATAGGAGGGCCCTGATCCTGGGAGCTTACAATCTAGGTGGGAGGGGCTAGTGGTACAAAAAGGTAATCGCTGTGGGGGATGGACTGGTAGGAGGAGTAGAAGATTCCATTATTAGCTGAGGGCAGGATAGGCTTCCCTTAAGAGAGAGGTTTTCAGAGATCGCCTAAAAGTGAGCAGAGTAGGCGATAGTCTGATAAATTGGGGTAGAGAGTTCCAGAGGATGGGGAAGCTCTGGAGAAATCCTGGAGACGAGCATGGGAGGAGGAGACATGGGAGCTAGAGAGCAGGAGGTCTTGCGAGGAGTGGAGAGGAAGGTTTGGGTGATATTTAGAGACAAGATCGTTGAGGTAATTTGGGGCTTAGTTATAAATGGCTTAATACGTTATTGTTTTGAATTTTATCTGTTGGGCAATGGGAAGCCAGTGGAGGGATTGGCAGAGAGGGGTGGAGGACACCAAATGGAGGCCAGTGGAGGGATTGGCAGAGAGGGGTGGAGGACACCAAATGGAGGGATTGGCAGAGAGGGGTGGAGGACACCAAATGGAGGCCAGTGGAGGGATTGGCAGAGAGAGGGGTGGAGGACACTGAGAGGAGGTCAGTGGAGGGATTGGCAGAGAGGGGTGGAGGACACCAAATGGAGGCCAGTGGAGGGATTGGCAGAAAGGGGTGGAGGACACCAAATGGAGGGATTGGCAGAGAGGGGTGGAGGACACCAAATGGAGGCCAGTGGAGGGATTGGCAGAGAGGGGTGGAGGACACTGAGTGGTGGCAGAGAGGGGTGGAGGACACAGAGGTCAGTGGAGGGATTGGCAGAGAGGGGTGGAGGACACTGAGTGGAGGTCAGTGGAGGGATTGGCAGAGAGAGGTGGAGGACACTGAGTGGAGGTCACTGGAGGGATTGGCAGAGAGGGGTGGAGGACACTGAGTGGAGGTCAGTGGAGGGATTGGCAGAGAGGGGTGGAGGACACTGAGTGGAGGTCAGTGAGGGATTGGCAGAGAGGGGTGGAGGACACTGAGTGGAGGTCAGTGGAGGGATTGGCAGAGAGGGGTGGAGGACACTCAGTGGAGGTCATTGGAGGATTGGCAGAGAGGGGTGGAGGACACTGAGTGGAGGCCAGTGGGATTGGCAGAGAGGGGTGGCAGATACAGAACGGTTAGTAAGGTGGATGAGTCTGGCAGCAGCATTCATGATAGACTGAAGAGGGGATAGCCTGCGATGAGGTCGGCCAATGAGGAGGGAGTTACAATAGTCAAGGTGAGATATAACAAGGGAGTGAATAAGTTGCTTAGTAGCCAATTGAAAACAGATGAATGGATTCCCCCAGCCGCACACCAGGCACTCCCGTACATCAAGGAGATAATAGCAACCTTGGCCTATCTCCATTCTGGCCACGCCTCTGAAGTGTTTCACCCTGGCCATAGGGCTTAGTCATGGAGGTCATCCAAGACTAAGCCGCGTGGGCGGGGCGAAACGTGTCAGCCGTGTGACCAGGGCGGGATAGATCGAAGTTGCCATTATCTCCTTGATGTATGGGATCGCTTGGGTTGCGGCTTCTGGAACACTCCATTTGCTCTCAGCAAGCAGTTTAGGTGAATTCTACTCAGCCAGAACCCAGACTGAAACCTACTGGACCCGACTGTACAAGCCACAGCGGGGACCTGGAGTCCCTACCAGGTTCACAGAACACATTCCCCCATTCGAATATGCAGAGTAGATGAAGGAATCAATTGCCACTGATCGAATGAAAATTCTCCAACATTGCTATGTGACAGAAATCGAACGCAGGACTGACTTTTGTCAAACAGGAAAGGCCACAGATGGCTTGCGTCTGGTCCCTGCTGAACTGGATGAATTTCAATCCAGCTACGGCCAGCTGTGTATAGCGGGGGTCCCTTAGGCCCCTTTCAGACGAGGCGGATCCGTCAGCGTGATTCACCTGCTCAGTGGGGGAATCTCTCCATGACAGGTCTGTCCGCTCTGCTGCTGCAGACATTGCCGCTGATTTCAATGGGACAGTCAGATGGAAACAGACCGCCTGTCTGCTCACCCGACTCATCCGATCCTACAGAGGGCTGGGGAACAGATACCCATCCGTCTGGTTTTGGTGTGCAGGATCAGATGACACCCGCCGGCCCATAGAAATCTATGAATGGACCAATTGGGTCCGCCTGAAAAAATGGCTAGGAGGACCCCATCAGTCTGCTCGTGTGAAAGGGGCCTAAACTGTCGGGTCCTTAGACTGTCCAGTACAGAGACCACTGCGCAGGGGGGGCCCCCAACACTGTATAGGGGGGGGCCGAACACTGCAAAGGGGGGGCCCCACACTGTACAGTACAGAGAACACTGCGCATAGGGGGGGGCCCCGACACTGTACAGTACAGAGAAACACTGCACATAGGGGGGCCCCCCGACACTGTACAAGAGACACTGCCATAGGGGGGGGCCCAAATCTGTACAGTACAGAGAACACTGCATAGGGGGCCCCCGACACTGTACAGAGAATAGTATAGGGGGCCCCCCGACACTGTATAGTACAGAGAACACTGCATATGGGGGGGGCCCCCGACACTGTATAGTACAGAGAAACACTGTATGGGGGGGCCCCCCGACACTGTATAGTACAGAGAACACTGTATGGGGGGGCCCCCGACACTGTATAGTACAGAGAACACTGTATGGGGGGGCCCCCGACACTGTATAGTACAGAGAACACTGTATGGGGGGGCCCCCCGACACTGTATAGTACAGAGAACACTGTACTGTATAGTACAGAGAACACTGTATGGGGGGGCCCCCCGACACTGTATAGTACAGAGAACACTGTATGGGGGGGCCCCCCCGACACTGTATAGTACAGAGAACACTGTATAGGGGGGCCCCCCACACTGTATAGTACAGAGAACACTGTGTATAGGGGGGGCCCCCCGACACTGTATAGTACAGAGAACACTGTGTATAGGGGGGCCCCCGACACTGTATAGTACAGAGAACACTGTATAGGGGGGCCCCGACACTGTATAGTACAGAGAACACTGTGTATAGGGGGGCCCGCCCCGAACTGTATAGTACAGAGAACACTGTATAGGGGGGCCCCGACACTGTATAGTACAGAGAACACTGTATAGTATACTGTAAAGGGGGGCCCCGACACTGTATAGTACAGAGAACACTGTATAGGGGGGCCCCGACACTGTATAGTACAGAGAAACACTGTATAGGGGGGCCCCGACACTGTATAGTACAGAGAACACTGTGTATAGGGGGGCCCCGACACTGTATAGTACAGAGAACACTGTGTATAGGGGGGCCCCCGACACTGTATAGTACTGAGAACACTGTGTATAGGGGGGCCCCGACACTATAGTACAGAGAACACTGAATAGGGGGGCCCCGACACTATAGTACAGAGAACACTGTATAGGGGGGCCCCCGACACTGTATAGTACAGAGAACACTGTATAGGGGGGCCCCGACACTGTATAGTACAGAGAACACTGTATAGGGGGCCCTCCACACTGTATAGTACAGAGAACACTGTATAGGGGGGCCCACACTGTATAGTACAGAGAACACTGTATAGGGGGGCCCCCACACTGTATAGTACAGAGAACACTGTATAGGGGGGCCCCGACACTGTATAGTACAGAGAACACTGTATAGGGGGCCCCGACACTGTATAGTACAGAGAACACTGTATAGGGGGGCCCCGACACTGTATAGTACAGAGAACACTGTATAGGGGGCCCCCCACACTGTATAGTACAGAGAACACTGTATAGGGGGCCCCGACACTGTATAGTACAGAGAACACTGGTACCAGGGGCTCCAGAACAGTACACAGAACCCCATGTGTACCAGGGGCCCCCTGTAACTGTACAGAAGACACTGTATACTAGGGGCCCCGGGACTGTACCACATACACTGACAAAATGATTTGATGGTATAGATGGGCAGCAGATACCGGGGTGTGGAATTTGGAACCGTAGCTCTGGGAAAGCAGCACGTTAATGAGTCTATTAGGGAGGCCGACACATTCCAGACGTCTCCACGCTTCACCGAACATCAACAGCCTGCTTCATTACCATCCCCCACTGCCACCCCACAGCTGGGACTGTCCCATCACAAGGCAGGCAGTGTACTGACACATACTGGGGTCACCACTATATAAAACACAGATCGGGGTCACCATCCTAACCTAGTCCAGGCACAGAAATCGGGGTCTCCAGAATACAGGCATGGAAATCCAGGTTACTATCGCATTACAGCGCAGGTACTGTAGAGACAATCGGGGTCACCGTCCCATCACAGTGCAGGCGGTATACAGACAGATTGGTGTCCCCAATGTACAGACACAGAGCTTGGTGTCCCCGATGTAGACAGAAATTGGAGCTACCACCCTATTACAGCGCAGGCACTGTACAGACAAAAATCAGGGTCACTGTCCCATCACAGTGCAGGCAGTATAGACAGAGCTCGGTGTCACTAATGTAGAGACAGAAATTGGGGCCACCACCCTATTACAGCACAGGTACTGTAGAGACAAAAATTGGGGTCACCGTCCCATCACAGTGCAGGCAGTACAGAGACAGATCGGTGTCCCCAAGGTACAGCACACAGAGCTCGGTGTCCCCAATGTACACACAAATTGGGGCCACCACCCTATTACTGCGCAGGCACTGTAGAGACAAAATCAGGGTCACCATCCCATCACAGTGCAGGC